ATTTTTGTGATTCCACAAAAATACAGGGTTTGAATTAAGCTGGTTTCGTATAAATGCATGAAAATACAGATCTTGAATAGGGTTGTATTTATACGTATCAATGTGAATGCATTCCATGTATTTTTGTGAGTCCACGAAAATACAGTGTTTGAATTAAGCTGGTTTTGTATAAATGCATGAAAATACAGATCTCGAATCGGGTTGTATTTATACAAATCAGTGTGAATGCATTCCATGTATTAAGCTGCTCAAGTATGAATCCGGGAAGATAAGTCCCTGTATTAATCTGTATCTATACACTAAATTAATACATGAATAATAGACTTCCTGTATCAACATTTATTCACAGAAAATACAACACTGATGCAGGTAAATACAGGAATGCATTTACTGTGAATGCAGGTCAATAAAGGAAGTGTATTATCCCTGTATTAAATGAGTGCAAATACACGTGAAGACAGCCTGTATTCACACTGTATTTACATGAATAAAATGTTACATTTCCCTGTATTCTCATTGATTTTCTGATAATACAGGCTAATCTACTGATGAATACAATCTGTATTTTCGCAATTTCACGTAGTGTTATTTTGTTTAGAAGTGGGTGGCAATTTATCAATGTTTTTTTTGAGAAGTGTGTGGCCAAAGGAAACGGCTGAATAAAATGCATCGCCCGGATGCGCTCACTGGTTGCGAAAGTTGTGAGCTGGGTGTGTTTGCTGTTGCTGAAAACACTTGTGTTTAGAAGTGGGTATATAAATATAAAAACATGGTTTAGAAGTGAGTATGGTTTACGAGAGGTGGGCTGCACACCATTACTCACTTAATGTGGAAGTAGCCCCCCCCCGGAAAGCCGGTGAAATATTTTACCATCCAATTACTTATCGCAAATGGGGGTCGCGTTCATGCACAATAAATTTTGTTACAAATTGTATTGCGAAACGGATACAAATTCTCCAGTGGCGTAGCACGAAATTTTGCATTGGGGGGGGGGGGGGTCTGCTCACCATTCCTTGCGCCCCGTAGGCGCACGTGGTCGTGCATTTTTTCGGGGGGTGTATTTTTATATACAAGGATGCGTAAAAATTACATATAAGATAGTTTTCTATAAAATTGTATTTATATATATTTATATTTTTCTGTAAATATTATATGTATATAATTCATTATAGTATATAATAAAATTATTGTGTGTGTGGTAAAGCTGTCATGCACACAATCATAACTGGAAATGGTTTCAGAACGAAAAACTGTTTTATTACTGTAAATAATTTTGAACAATAAAAACTGAAATTTAGAAAAACAATTAATAATGAATGTCCCAAGCTTGTTTCGTTTAACTAGAAGGACATGTCTTTTGGTAGCATTTCTTGTATTAATTTCCATTGCACAAAAAACAGCAAATACTGTCACTGAAGCACAGAATTTGGATGATTTTTTCTCCTCGGCCATTCAAACTGCAAATCAAGTCTTTTACCGCATCCATAGTTGTTGACACTTCACAACCGCTTTGATGGATGTATTTTAACCCCTGGATTCTGACTTTGCATTCTGGCCACATTTACTGCTTTTTCATACCAGTTCAATTTCCTTTCATTATTACATATATATTCCATGATATTTAATATTTAAACCAGCTATTATTCACAGTCACTCTAGTTTCCACTTTTCTAAAATTATTTTACTGATCTAAAGACTTTTCACTCCCATCATACAATCTCACATAGTACTTCCACAAACACAGCGGCGATCGCCAACATAACTACAAATAACCTCGCTCTCAGGAGCGGAGGAATAAATGAAACTTATATAAATCAGTAATCAGGGCTACTTAATATGTTATAGTAGTAATAATTTGATATTATTATATATATATAATCGGGAATTATGTATTTATTACAATTTGTTTATAACAATAGCATGAACTTTTCTTTATATATAATATATTTGAAGCAGAATTATATATGAATAATTACTTATTACGAGTTATATTTTATTATATATAATAAGGTAATAACAATAATCATCACTTCATTATATACAAAAAAATTACCACAAAACTATTATGTATATATAATGAATAACTGTAAATAAATAAATGCACGAAGGACACCTAATAACAGAGAAGCCAGGAAAATATAACGTTCTGTCCCGCTGCGCGTTGCTACACGGCGAACGCCGATAGTGGGCAACACGTGTCTTGAAATTTCCTCGAAAACTGCTCAAAATAAAACGAAATTTCGCGTGAATTATTGATTAATCAGTTGAATTACTTTCCTCAGAATTTATTTGTAAATTCAGCATTTAGTTTTAACAAAGTCGCACAAAGTCGCTGTAACAAATTTTCGCGATTCGTAAATAAAATTAAGAGCGACCTTAATGTCAAGTATTTTCTTTCTTATACATGCAGTTCTTTGGGAGAATAAAGTATTTTGTGGAACTTCGAGGGAGTTGGAAGAAATAAGCAGCCGCCTCCGAACGCAGCTAATTGAACATTTCAGCGTGAATCGCCATGAAGACTTCAATCCAACAAACAAAGACAATGTTAGGAATTACATCAAAGAAACAATGGAAAGTTATAATCTCGAAGTTGAACTGCAATATTTCGACTCTTTATACACACAGGTAAGTGCACCATATAATGTAAACCTTAACTGCTAGATATATTTTAAAACGTAAAAGGCGTGCATCACTTCTCCACTATTTGTCACCGTTGGCGGCGTAGTTGGAGTACTGCACGTACTACGATTTTACTATAGCTCAATTAGGTGGTAGTTCACACAAACCAGGCTTTGCATCCTCGCTGTTGTCAAGTATGCTAAAATAATGTATATACATAAAAGATAAAGCACTCAGTGAATTGTGCATTAGTACATCGTATGAGTCCCATGGCTGGCCTTGTATTCAAGTTTTCTTCATCACTAGTGCAGTCGAATGGTTGGTGGGGTGATTAGCATATTATACCTTCACAGTGAACGCTGCGGGTTCAAATCCCTCACTAGGCAACTTGCAATTTTTCACATATCATTCATATCACACAGTAATGTGCATATGAATGAATAACACTTATGAATAAAACGCACAATTGACCTTGTTTTTGTTTTTTTGCAGTACGAGGGAACAAATATCATCGGCGTTCTCCCAGGACCATTAGTAGGGACGGCTGATGATAGGGTTGTCCTGCTAGGGGCGCACTACGATTCTGAAAAATTAACCCCTGGAGTCGACGACAATGGATCAGGGATGGCAATTCTTTTGGAAGCAGCTGCCATGGTTACCAGTAGTATATGTGAACACAGAAATACCGTCATCTTCGCTGCATTTGATTTGGAGGAATGGCAGGATGGTATGTACAGTCCGTAACAGAAATAAACGTTCCTATGTTATATAGATCATTACACGAAGGGGGTGAACATGAATTCGCAACTTCGAAAGTATACGACAAATTTCCAGTATGTCTAGCTACATTATATATGAGACAAATCGATGAAGTTTTATCGGGGATGTAAATACTGGTTTGAAAAAACTGAAGAGCCCCATGGCTTAAAACGACACGGATTAAAAGCTAGTCATTTTATACATATAGCAAATATTTGAAATTAATTAAAAATCGGAAATATGTTAATTTTACTGGAACCAAATGTTCCATTTTTACACCCATGTTGTAAGCGAAATGTTGACTCATGTTGGCATAATTTGTTTATGGGTTAAAGTTAACATAGTGTACCCCTAGGTAACCTATAAAACTGACTGAACAATACTTCCAACCGGTAATATCATTACGGGTCTGTATCGCTGCTAACTAGATTATTTATGACAGTTGTCACTTCCATGGCGTATCACACCTACTTTTCCAATGATAGCTGTGTCAATTTCATACTTTGATTTTCAGTTGCAGGAGACATAAGCATTGGAAGCCTCTACTTTGTGCAAAAATGGCTGCTGCCTTTCCTGACTAATGATAATGGTGCGGCAAACAGTTCCTTCCAGGGCGCCCTCATCATGGAAACGGCAATGAACTACAATAATACTGTAAACTCCCAAATGATTCCATATGGATTTGAGCAAGTACGTTAAACTCACTACCAACACACAAGACAAGTACGATCGACTGTTGACAGTCTAGCTTGGTATATAGATAATTTAGACACGGGCCTAATTCCCTAAGACTTCTCCTGCCTTAGTTTTGTTAGAGCATAAGGTAGTCTGTCCCCCTGAAACCAGTAACCACAATTAGATTTTTGAAAGCACTGATCACTGATGTATTCTCTGAAGTTTTTTATATGTGCAATGTCACGATAAAAAGCTGTAAAAACCGCTTTTATTTTTACCAATAAGCTGCATTTCCTGTTTCTTGATAGGTTTTCCCGGATGTGTATGCCCACCTTGTGAATCGTGGTTTTCGTGGCGATTTCCTCAACGTCATTGGAAGAAGGACGGATGCAGTCTTCAGTGACAAGTTTGTGGAACATCTTGCCAGGATCGACGACACAAAGCCGGTATTCTACACCGAGGCAACCCAACTACCAATAGATGGTGAATTGCGTTCTTTGTCAAGATTGTGACAACTCTTGTTTTTCGGTTTTTTGTCAGTGGGCACACGTTTCTATTATAACTCTTAGTATATGCTCACCGTCCTTCTTTCTGACACATAGTAAACGCGTAGGTTATTATTCTGTTAATCATGATTAAATTGCAAACTTTTTTGTGAAAGAATTTACTTTACACGTCTAGAGCAGACTATCATGCGACATGTTTTTGCCCCTTATAAAGTATCCCCTTTTCTCCCTTTGACCAATCCCATTGTACCACAGTGACTGTTCTTTTGTTGAGTGACCGTGATGCAACCACATATATTTGGAACAGTAGAAGCGATAATTACAAACAGTCACAGTCGAGGCGTGTCAGCGCTAAAAGAATACCACGACAAACTTGTGCTTTTTTATCAGGTGTACCAACAGATGGCGAAATAAATATGTTCGGAGACTACTTCAGGAGCGACCATACAAGATTTTGGGAAGTTGGACCACCTTACCTGAAGGCATTGTTCATAACCGATTCAGGTATCGTCATATTATATTTGTATAGATCACGTAAATACTACAGATAATCGAGTCGCTGTCATACATTTTTTATTATAATTATAATTATATACTGACAGACAATATGCCACACCCTTTGCTGACACTGATGGCCAACATTTAGTTGGTATGGCATATAAATGCTTTATCGTTTCTTCTTAATATTTTAACATTATTTCGTATATTTGAACATTAAACGGTCATATTGTTGATAAGCATTATTGTGGGTTGATGCAATTGTTACGCGTATTTTTCAATGTATTCTGCAGCTGGTTTTCGCGCTCCAATGGGCGTATGTTATCAGAATCTCTGATATCCCAAAATATAGATTGATGTTTTATATTCGTATTATCATGTTTGTATATCTGATTGTATTATTAAAGCTTGCTTTCACTTTATCACAGCCAATTTCCGATCTCCGATGGACGCCTGTTATCACCAGGAATGTGATAATCTCGCAATGATTACGGCTGATAATCTACTATTCCTTGCTCGGACAACGAAAGCTGCGACCACAATGATAGAAGAACTCGCTATGGATTGTCCTGTTGGTGAGTTATGGAGTATTGTTTGCTTTCAATCGTCGGATTGTTATCGGTATCTACACAAAATTGCTGTTTTTCACATTGCTAGGGAGTTCATTGCCCTATGCCTGAATGATCTAATGAGTTTTTTTGCTGGAAGTACATTGGGATATTCAGAACGCCTAGTAAAATATTGTGAATTTGCACATAAACTAGTGAGTTATATGAGTTATGCATGTACTTAACTGTTAATTAATACCTAAATAGCATTTAAGCTACAAATGTGTTGGAGACGCTGTGTTCTAACGTGATAAAAATACATTTTATAACTCACCGTGACACTACTGAGATATTTGGATAAAACTTACAGTGTAATGTCTGTTGAACAGCTTTAATGATGATATAATATGTTTTAAACTGTCAAAAGTTAAAGGGCGGCAGTCGTCGTGCCGCGATCTGTTCGATATGGGACTCATAGCGACGTATAGACTGGTACAGTCGGGGCGATTAATTTGTTTTTGTAGTTTAAATAAAATTAAAAAAATGGAGGTGTTAGCGCGAAATCACCCCGACTGGTTTATTCTGCAGGAAATTCATTGTTATTAAATATTCATGAATGCACTTATTATAATGAGCTGGGCGCAGAAATATGTGCATAATGAGTTCAACATGGTAAAGGTCACACTGCAGACCCAACATGGCACACGTTGAAATTCGAGTTTGTCGTAGTCGTCGTTTCTAATTTTTCATAATGTGTAAAAAAGTAACTCGTACTAGTCGTAGAATTAAAAAAAAAATCGGCTGCTACAATCAGCCGACGTCTTCTCGGTCAGAGGTCAGTTGAAGAGACGTTGCGATTGGCTTAGGTGATTGTCAAT